CAACAGGTACTTTGTAACAAATCTCCTGACGGTTTGGTACGGCCATTACCTTTTCTCGAGGGACAAGACCATCAGCGGGGGCTTCACTCACTGTGTACACACGGATGGAGGCTATTCCCAGCACCGTCGGGACGGCCAGCATCACCACCTATATCACACAATACAAATACACATCTGAGTTGAGTATCTATCAGCTCATAGAAACACACTGACTCACAGACAGGTGATTCATGTGTAAGAGGAGGGTGAGGAATATAAACCGCATTAGCAAAAGTAACAAAACCACAATATGAGAGTAACAGCAAAGGTAAATTAGGCTCTATGCGCTGGTGCCACTCTTCCAATATGTTGTTATATAATTACAATTTAACTTTATGCACATTCATTATTTGAATCACTGACATGTAGGCAGCATTTGAATGATCCATCAGGTTCACCTTGAGCTTCTACTCATGGTTTTGTGTACTGCTGGATATTAAGAATAATGGATTGTGTCATTAAATATAAGTTTATCTATAACTGTAAGATAGATAGATAGACATACTTTATTCATCCCCGAGGGAACATTCTTGTGTTCCAGCAGTACAGACACATGTGCAATAAGTACTTTTTTTTTTTTTTTTTTTTTACACAGAAGAGCACATGTACATGCACATGTTACATTAGTCTTACAACAGTATGAGTACATATATTCGTCTACTTGTCAGCAGGGACATATTTATCAGGGCTGGTTTGCATTAATGATTACAGTGTGTACAATGGGTACTGTGTTTAACTTAAAGCTAAACTAAGCTAACCTCCATCGTAACGTCGCAGGCACAGATTTGACACTATCGGTTTATCTACCGAGACAAATGCTAATGTCCATCAGCTGTCACACAACCTGATGAGAATATGAAGCTAATGGTGGGAGAGCTGAACACACGCAGCACAGCAGCTCTGCACAGTTAGCATCGACCCTCTCAGCGAGGCTAACTCACTGGACCCTCAGTTAGCAAAGCGGCGCTCATGCAGTTTATAAGCCCGGACAGTGACTCAGCTTGACATTAACGGTCCCGGAGCAGGTAACGTTACACATTCACTGATAATAAACAAGACAACGTGTTTCATGAAGAACTTTGCAGAGGAAAAGTCAAGCATTCATTCACCTTGGCCGCCATGACAGCGCTCCTCCTTCTTCTTTGGCTCTGGTCACCCGCGTCACTGCTCTGTGTCCAAACCACGGTCAGATACCGCCACCTAACGGCCTGAGGAGGCAGCTGCACCGGTTTGGTGTTGAGCTGAGCATAGTGTTCTCAAGCTCTCAGTACACTGTAGGTGATGACTTTGGTTTAATGAATATATATATATATATATATGTATATTACTGCAGCTCCACACATGAAGTGTTTATTAAGAATACACACTGGATTGTTTGAGGCAAAGAAATTAGGGGCCCCCTGAAAGGGCTCCAAAAGCTCAATGTTCATTGCAAGGCTGATTTACAAAAAATGTCTTATGGAATAAACTGCAACAATGTATAGTACAACAGAATCTAATATTATCAAGTCATGTCTTGAAGAGGGTGCTGTGTTAAAATAAAGCATGCTGTGCAAGAACCTGAATGAAGGTCAAACAGATTAACACAAACTAACCCAAAAACCCACATGTATCGTTCCAGCACAACACAAAGCACCGGTTGTAATTGAGTCAGTGGGAACTTGGAAACAATAGCACACACACACACTGCACAGACAACTGAGGTAAATACTGTAGATGGGTGGTCAGAGACTTTGGGCCCAACAAATCATTTTGGAACCAAAACCTCTGAATGTGAGTGGTTATAAATAAGCATCAACTGTGTGATTTACAGGTGTTTCCATTCAGGGTGCTCCTTCCACCCAAACCAGCTGTATGGATGCCATGAATATGTAGAGGTGTATAGGTTCTCATAGTGGTTATTCCTAAATAGACACTAATGAAGAGAGCAAGGTTCAGTTTTCTCAGAGATATTTTACACACACTCTGAATAGAACATACTGTACGGGCCCCTGTGTTATGGGGTGGCCGCTGCCCTTCATTTGACATCTGCTCTTGTCTCCTTCAATAAAAACAATGCAATGCTGTTTCAGTGAATACAAGAAAATGTACACATGAACAGAACAAAGCTCATAGTGCAGAGGATTCAGTTTATTGAAGTCAAAGTTTAACAACTTAAGTTTACAATCTGTATTTTTTTGTAATATATATTCATATATATGAAACCAAAAAAAGGCTACTTTAGGAAGAATAAATGTAATTTTCTTTCTTTTTTTTAATATCATCTTTAGTCAGTTTTAATGTACAGAATAACAGTAAGCTAATATTATCCTTGAAAAAGAGCAATATGTTCCTTTTTTAATGTCGCAGTGCAACTTACATCTTACACACCTGTGCAATGTACCATGAGGTGTACACCCCTGAAAGAACACACAGTGGAATCTCCCTTTTCGGCCTGTTTCTGCAGGTCTACACACACAAAGGTCTGGGAGGGATAACACAGTCTGTGCCTACAAATCATAACTCACATAGCTCCATATTCTACAGTATGTCGCCTGGTCAGCGGAGCAGCGGTTGGCAAAAAAGAAGACCGACACAACAGATGAGAATCGGAGGGAGGTCTGCAGACTAAAACTGTATCGTAGCTCCTCTACAGCTGTGTGTGTGTAGGATCGCCAGTATAGTCAGTCCATTGTTGCCAAAGAGAGGGTTGGGAGGCACAGGGAAAGTGCTTGCATCATTTAGTTTCCTTTGTGGTACTCTCAAATTAACTGTTGAAAAAAAAGCATGAGCTATAACTTTGAGGGGAGTGTTATATTTCACAACCGTGAGACAGGATGAAAAACCAGAACCTACACTCAAAGACAGACAATAAAAGATGGAGAATAAATACAGATGCTGGATGAAGCAGGTGCTACGCATGTCTCTCAGAGTCTTCGACACTGGGGGGCACCGTTGAGTCCTTGGCCTGATATTGCAGATGAAATGATTCATCCGAGTTTCACAGACATTACAGACCAATTAATGTAGATGTCTTTGACCGCCCAGTATCAACCATATGCTAGGAGGGAATGTCAGAAAAAGCTTCTGTTTTTAGAAGCAACTGTACTGTTGTCTCTCAGTAAGATTCCTGAAACCTTTGTGGTTGTCTCTCTATGTAGACTTTATATACAGTCTATGATGTAAACCAAAACAGTTAACTGAAGGTTAGATGCTGATGTTCTGCATTAGATCGAACAACTGAGCAGCAGCAGTGTCTCTCTGTTATTGTACAGTATGTGTGTCTTCAAACACCATCTAATGAAAAAAAAATACTTCAAACCTACAAACATATAATTAAAGTCATTCTTCAACAGTACCGTTGCATGTATCATGCGCTACAAGTCTAATTATCTTGCAATCTTAAAAGGAAGATTGAAAAAAATAACAAATGATCCACGATAGTTTACCCTGTCCAATCAGATCAGTCCCAGGCCTTTTCTCATGCAACACATCACCAAGAGAGGATGATGTACAGTACAAACTGTCAGTCAACTGTCAGTGACGGTGGTTGTTGTTGTTGTTGTTGTTTGCCTCCTAGTTGTTCAACTGCTAAACACCCTGCACCTACAGAGTGAAGAGGGGGACACTGCAAAACCTTGGCATAGAATACATCATACTTTACATTATATCTATGACACAAAACGTAAATAGATTTATATATTCTTCTATGTTTAAATATATTTGTAGACTGTACACAAATCTTTAGAAAATGAGACGGCAAATGCTTTTTACCTGATATTTTGAACAGCAATGGTAAAGAGGCCGATGAGACATAGACCCTGTGATGCAGCCAATGAGATATAGAGATGTAGAAAGTGCATTCTTTGTAGTGAGTGACTCCTTTGAAAAGAACTCTCTAGCTCTTGCATTCGCTGTTTACAAAAATAAAAAGAAAGAAAAATGAAAAAAAAACAAATTGTTTTGCACCCACGCAAATACATACTCTCCCGTCTTCCCTCCGCTACCTCTAGAAGCATATCACAGTGGTAGTGGAACGCAAACATTTACATCAGTATACACAGCAGTATACACATATACACAAGTCTTTGAGGACTGGAGAGAGAGAAGAAACAAAAGGGGGGACGGAAATTAAGAAAAGAGAAGGAGGAGACGGAGAGAAACATAGAGAGAGAGGGAGACAGAATGCAAACTCAATTGTAGAATTGCACTCTATCAGAGGAGCCTCCTTCTGCAGATAAAATTGTGTCATTTTTAACAGTTCACAGTTTGAAATAGTGTGCATCAAGCCAGGACAACGTAGCTTCTCAACGCTTGTGACACTTGTTAACATCGGTTAAAACAGACATACCAGCATCGATGGCTACCTTTCACAGTCTTATACCAAAGTCACTTTGTCACTGCCTTTAATCCCCCCCACACACTGTTCCATCACATCAGCCTGGAGTAACAGTAAAGTCCCAGTAAATGAGTGAGATATGCAGCGAGAGAAAAATTGAATAAAATAAAAAATGTTACAGAGAGAAAGGGGGAGAACTGGTGGCTCTGGGTGCAAAGTTCATCAGTACAAAAGTACAGTGCTGTGGTGAAAAGGATTCTCCTCTGTATTGCTGCTACATAGCTCCCCCTGCCCCCTAAAATCAACCGGAAGAAAATAGCGAAACCAATACAAAGGAACGGACGTGTTTAAAAAGTCTTCTTTTTTTCCCATTTTGCTCGACAAGCGTGTGGAGTTTATGCTGAGTTCCATAGACAAAGGAAGATTAATGCTTTCTGTTCAGGCATGCAATAGGCACCCTGTGGGGTCCTCAAGATTATCAAAAGTTCATACACGCAGGTCTCAGACTGTTCCCTCTATGATATTTACACATCTTACAATGTGTGTTCCTGTGTGTGTTTGTGTGTAAGTGCGTGTTCAGAGTTGTGATCAGGGGAGAGGGTTTGGGTGAAGTAAAGCTCAGTGTTTTTTGTGTGTGTGWGTGTGTGTGTGTGTGCGTGTTTGTGTGTGTGTGTGTATCAGTTCAGTCTTTGCTTCTCTTCTCTTTCTCACACGTGTGTCTCAATGAAGGAGTGTGTGTGGGTCATAAGCGGTGCGGCCAGCGGAGAGAGCTCGTCCTGGCCGTTGGTGCCGGGGCTGAGCTGGCAGATGTCTGAGTAGAGGTCGCTGTGCCACTGCTTCCACTCTCTGAAGGTCTGGGAGCACAGGCCAGGGTCCTCCAGGAGGGCACAGATCACCGCCAGCTCTGACTCTTTGGCCTGTGGGAGAGCAAAGAGACACCGGGGGGATTACTGCGCTGAGTCCTCACACACCTAATTCTTCCTTAAATCCCCAAATCGTTGCTGTGTTTTGTGACAGAATCGCTTTCTTTTTGTGCTACCTTCAAGGTGCTGCGGAGGGCTCGCACCCGGTGTAGCCTGTCGTTGAGCAGTGGGTCCCTGGCTCGCTGGGTGAAACAGCGTCGAAGCTCTTGCCTGCTACAAGGTCTGGGGTCTCCTAGGGCCGTCACGTTAGCTTGCTCCAGGGCCCGGTAGAGCTGCTCTAGACCATCTAAAGACTCTGGCTCGCGGCCCTCTGACACCCGCCGCTCCCTTCCTTCTGACACCCTCCTCTCTCTGCTCTCAACTCTCAACTCCCGCAGGTCTGAGACAGCCAGGAGACAACCAGTAAGAGTCGGATTCATAATGTGTGCATGGTGTGTTTTAATACTAACAGAAATACTACTGCTACTACTACCACTACTACTACTGCCATACTACCTCTACTACTACTATACCAAAAGTGGCATTTTACAGCAAAATTCAAATAAAAACATTTATAGCAAATAAACCCCTTAAAAAAAGGATAATTCAACTTGACTTTATTGTCTTCGAATTCTTACCACTTTATGATTCTACACCACCACTACAACAACAACAAATATTACAGATACAATTGCTTTACAGATTAAACCTGTTCAGATTACTTATTGTTAGTGGCCCTACAGCTTTATTGTACCCAATATGTAAAAATTAAGTAATGTAATTTTCTTTCCCTTTGTGAACTTGGCTTGGACATTTGATCAAGGTATCAGAACACAGAACTGACCATATAGAGCATTGTTATATCAGATAAGTAAAATAATAAACTGATATGGTCTGTATACCTTTTATCAAATGTCACTCACAATCAAAACATGTACAGTATCTTGTACTTCTTGTTGATGCAATTCTCAGCAATCCTCATAGACTTATTTGGGATTTTTGAAGAATTAGTGTTGTGCAAAAACCAATCATAGAAACAGAGCATATGTATGCCAACATATATTATTGTATTTAACCTTGTTTTATATCTGATTTGTCTGAGCTGACCTCTGAAATGTGTCATCAGTTCAAAACCATGTGTATCAGCTACTTTCATAAAATGAGCTGATAAGACAAACTGTGAGCTGGTAAAGAGGGACTCGTGGTTTCCAGGGACCACAAGTGATTCTACATACAAAACAAGAAGTTAGCTTACAACAGATGATTCACTGCTGTTTCTTAAGTGATTGAACTACCTAACCTAGACCTAAACTGCAAGATATATGAAGTAATTCAAATTCACAACTGCAACAATAAAATCCTCATGACTTGATGCATCAGTAATGATAATCTGCTGATGTAATATTTAATACTATAGGACTCATAAGAGCCAAACATCTGCATAATGGTAACGTTTACTTTTGATCCCTTAATAACATGTTGCTAATTATACTCAACTACTATACTATAATTCACTTATAATGGATCATATGTAGGAACTCTTAATGTTTCTGAGCTAATTTGTCTCTTAAAAGTTGGTACTTTCTGTGTGTACTCCTGCTCCTCTCTTTGCACTGTATAATTGAGTGTACTTTTCTTACCCTCCTCACCCTCGAGCATGTCTGCAGCCTGCCCCTCTGCTTCTTCATCCTCGCTCCTCTCCTCCATGTGAACTGAGGTGTGCAGCAGCTTCCCTGGCATCGGGTCCCTGTTCCTGGGCAGACTCTGACTCCGCTGCTTGTGAGAGCGTCGGTGCGTGTGGCTGTGTGTGTGTGGCCCCCGGTCCAGAGGGAAAGGCCCGTCCCGTTCCCTGTCCCTCTCTGCGGCGTGGTGTCTCCGCACGGGCAGAGTGGCCTGTCTGCGTCTCTCCGGGGACATGCCCTGTCTGCCCAGCCCTCCGTAGAGCCCCATGTCTCCTGCCATGCTCCCCATAAGACCTCCGTAATCACTCTCCCCGGGCGCCGTCTGGAGGAAGTGCAGACCCGCACTGGTCAGAGGGGTCTCGATGAGATCCTGCCAGGAGCGACGCTCACGATGGGAGGAGCGGCAGCCAGACGAGTGTGTACTGGTGCTGCCCGTGCCCGTGCCCATGCCCATCCCGTCTCCACGCTGGTCCTCAGCTGAGGAGTGGGAGTGCGTGGACTCGCTGGAGAAGTGCCGGCCATGCTTGGGTTCTGGGAAGGGGCTAGAGGAGTTGACCTGGAGAGGGAGAGGGAGAGGGGAGGTGGAAGAGACCATCTGTGGCGGGATGGGGGAGGTGGAGGCACTCATTGGAGGAGGGAGTGGGGAAGGAGTGGAGCGCATGAGGCTCATGGAGCTGACGGAGCGGGGCAACTGGTCATAACTGTGGAGGAGGTTGGCCTGGAGGGCCAAGGGTGAGTCAGGGTGGACGGCATGGGTTAGGAGGGAGAGGGGTGAGGAGGGATGGGTAAGAAGGGTGACCCGCAAAACGAGGAGGAGAGGAAGAGGAGGAGGTGTGCGAGGAAGAAGAGACGACAGAAGAAGAAAGGACAGGAAAGCATAGAGGGCAGAGAGAGAGCAAAAAATGAGAGCAACAAAGCGATGAGATGGCAGATGAGAAACTCCAGGAAGGAGTGACATGACTGTTGTATGGTCCAGCTGGGAAACATGATGCTCCTGTACATGTTTGAACAATGTGACACTCAGTGATGGGATTCTACTCCACTATTGTTTTATATGTTCACGTTACATTGTTTTAATAGAAATATATAGTCAAAAATATATATTTATTGATTAATACTTTAACTTGAGAACTCACTGGTGAGGAAACACCGAACGTGGCAGAGACTCAGCCAGTAATTATTAAGTGTAGCATCATCTTTATTAATAGGACAGTCTGTACTGTTTTTGTATTGACAGAATATACAGTTAATGATGTAGAAGACCTTTGCATTAAGGAATGGGCTACTCTCGTAAAATACTTTAAATATATATTTAAAAAATACCTTACTTTTACTCAAGTAGAAAATTTATTATCGTTCTTTTCCTTTTTTCCTTAAGTTAATTTTTGTCCATTTATTTATTATGTATTTGTCCAATTTATTGAGTACTTCACCCACTGCTGGTTACACTGACATGTTACACTGGTTATTTCTTATTTAGTTTCAGATGTAATGTGCATTGGGAATCGTTGCCACCTAGAGGTCAGATTGTGTATCAGCTCTGGAACCAGAACACAGAGAAGTGATGGTCTTGGCTGCTTACGGAGCCAGATAGTCTCACACTCTGATGTATTATTAATGCTTAGGGCTCTGGTCTATGCAGCTCTGAAAACTGTGGGGCTTTTAAAATAAAATATGCTATCAGAACGAAACACTGCAAAAAGAAAATGTGGATTGTGGGTAAGTGTGCATGTAAGTGTGATTGTTTGTGTGTGTACTTACTGATGGTGTGCGGTGATAAGTATCACAGAGGGATGATGGTCCCTCCTGTTTGAGTGTCATCGAGCCATCGACCTCGTCTTGATCACTCTCACTCCAGTAGTCTGATTTTGAGATAAGACACAAACACACACACACACACACACACACACACATCAATGTCGGTGATTCATAGATGAAAAAAGGAACCAATGATTTCAAATAAGCCGATCCATCTTACCTTCATCGGGACGTGGCACCTTGTCATCTGGTGTGTAGCCAATAGCGGCCAACCCCAGTCGGTTCATCCACCTACGGGAAACAAGGGCAGGAGAAGGGAAAAGTGAGGGATGAACAGTGAGAGGGTAGAAGTTATCAAGGGATGTATGAAGAAAGAAGCAGAAAGGAGGACAGGATGGGTCATGTTGGGTAAATGGTAGGTGATGAATAAAAAACGTTGACAGTAAATAATTCAAGCGGCATCTCTTAACCGTTGATATCTGTCTAACTGACTCCATCTCCCCCATGAAGGGAGAAAAGCATCATGGTAATTAAAGAGACGGATGAGAGAAGTGACAGTCCTCACTCCCATTGTCTCTCAGCAGAGACTTTGAGATGGCATCTCTTTCTCGACATTCACTCTTTGTCTTCATCCCGTCCTCCTGTCTGTCTTCACTGAAGATCCCGGTTTGTCGTCTGTCTTTCTACAGACACCCAATAATGAGGGTTGGTACTAAGAATAAAGACTTAGTTTGCGCACTCGTTTCTTTTTCTAACCGACTAAAAAGTGAGATGATTGCAGTTTGTTCTGAAGTTGTCCAAAAACTTAAAAACACATAAAGTTACAAATTGTTGCGCTGGCTAACATGTTCCTTCATCATCATGTCCATGGGCACTGTAGTCAATCCCAAAAACAGCATCCTGCTGCTGTAAATACTCACAAGGGCAACAAATGTACATTGTAGTATTTGCCCCTGTTGCAGTAATATTAGCTCAAAATAATCTACAAGATGCCAATCATGTTTACGGGTGAGTTAATGTGTAAAAGCATACCATGAATACTTCTCCAAGAAGAACACAGAGGCCAAATTTAACTAGTCTGGTGCCTGCTTTATAAAGATAAACTGTTATCCTACAAAATTAGCAGTCTGGTGGTTTGCATGACAAGGCTGGTCTCAGATGGAGTTGAATTCCCTGCCTCAATGATTGTTTCAGTCCGCCCCTGATTTCACACATGCATCTCCAAACACAGTATGGAAGTCAAATATAGCTGGTTAATTATTCTCCCCCAATTATCTCCCCATGTCACTGAGGAGAGGTGTGGATAATTAGAGCTCATCAGATAACACTCCTGCAAATATCACTACATTCTCCACACTCACCCATGTGACCCCCCCCCCCCC